TGAACCATCGATAACACCCTCTCAAGTTCTCAGGCTGACGATAGTATATGTCTTTCACCACGAACTTGAATAACGAGTACTCATGCTGGCAAATACTGAGACCTTCAGTTACCAAATCTGCCAGCTGTTCTCTTGTCGAAACATGTTGAGTTCGAACAAGTACCTTTGAATATTCTCTTGGATCAAATGATAATCAATTTCAATGTGTTATTTTTCATGAAATCCCGGATTAACTGTAATTTTCAAAGTCGCTTGACTATCACAAAACAACTAGGCGTGTTCTTCATGTTCAACACCCAACCTATTAACCTCTTTGCAGGCTGCAATGGGAATTTTGATGGGTGAAGGAACCTCATATCCGCCACTGGTCTCCAAGGCCTGAATTTCTTGTTCCATGTACCAGGCTAACACCAGCGAGTGCAATCAGGGCCAACCTTCAATTGAAGAATGTGTATCTTTTCTCAGCTCCGTTAGCCTTGTGACGTTCAAGTACTTAACCGGTGTTTTCTTAACAATGCATAGCGAGTGCAATCAGGGCCAACCTTCAATTGAAGAATGCGCATCTTTTGTCAACTCCGTCAACCTCGTGACGTTCGAGTACTTCACCAGTGTTTTCTCAACAATGCATTTGAGCGATGGTTCACTCATTTTCAATTTGAAGGCCTCATTTCATCACTCTTGACCAGTTGAGTAGCCCCGTAACACTTTCTCCCTGAATGTGCCCGACATGCCCCTGGAAAAACACCGATCCGACCACCCATGTTTGCATCACCCACTTAAATGCTCTATCATCATATCCCTACACAGTTTCTGTTTGAACACAAACCAGTCCCGCTTACAATAAAATCTGTTGTACAAATAATAGTATTATACTGGTTTTGCTAAACCAAAGAAAATCAACCAACATATATTTCTAAATAATACTTTTATAATCCAGTATAACATTATTATTAATAATAAAATTTGTATAATAATATTATACTATATTATATAAATTTTATAATAACATCGTATAAATAAATAAAATTAAATTTTACTTTTTCGGTTAACGAAAAATTAAAACTTCAAACATAAAGAATTCAAAATAATTTTTTTTATCATAATTCAAAATGAATCTAATGTATAGAGGCGATGATGTATCTTTCTTTTTAATCTGATTCGTGTGATAACATATACTTTATCTAATAAATGTATCCAATCAAATCATTAAAATTTTAAAAATTCGGGGATTTTACAGGATGATACATCTAATCTAAAACTAATCTAAAACGTGACCAGTTCAACAAGATATAGGTTAAAACCTAAAAATATTATTAGATACAAACTTAAAACTAATAAAGCTTGTTAAAACCTAAAATGTTACTTTAAAGTCTGAAATTGAGAATATATTTAAATAATAGAGCTTATTTGAATATATATATATAATTCAAGATTTTATAAATGTAAAATATCTGAGCAACGGTTTCATTTCCTGAAAGGCCAAATTAAAAGTCTGGCAACCGTGCAACGAAATAAAAGAGCTGTAACTGCAAAGGCAGAACAGCTTGCATGGAACACTACAAAATCCAAAATTCCAAATCCAAGTAAGGCCACAACGTTTATGTAAACTATCCAGACAAACATTTACATTTGATGCTTTGATTCTTTATATAAGGAAAACCTCTTAAGAACCGTTCCCATGCATCTCCAGTGAAACAAGCAAACAATCTCCAATGGTTTCTCCAAGAGATTTTAGCATGTTGTTCTTCCTTGTAATAGCTGTTTGCATCCCACGTGTTATGTGTTGTAGCCTGCAGGAGGCATCCTTTTCCCAGAGGCACGAGCAATGGATGACTCGGTATGGACGAGTCTATAAGAATGATGCAGAGAAGGAAATGAGATTCAAGATATTCAAAAGCAATGTGGAGTTTATAGAGCAGTTTAATGCTTGCCGGAGAACGCACTTACAAGCTAAGCATCAATGCATATGCAGATCAGACCAATGAAGAGTTTAGAGCTTACAGGAACGGATACAAAAGGACCCCGAGAACAACAGACATCATTTAGGTACGAGAATGTTACAAGTTTGCCTGCCAGTATAGACTGGAGGAAAAGAGGAGCCGTTACTCCCATCAAGAACCAAGCACAATGCGGCAAGTAATATGTAACTAGTTTGAGAATAACCCTAATTCTTACTTTGATTAACTAGAGTAATGAAAAAATAACACAGGTAGCTGCTGGGCATTTTTGACTATCGCGGCAACTGAAGGGATTCACCAACTAACTACAGGACAGCTAATTTCCTTGCCTGAGCAAGTACTGGTTGATTGTGATAAAGGTGTGGATCAAGGATGTGAAGGTGGTGAAATGGAAAATGCAGTTATGTTCATAATCAACAATCATGGCATTGCATCCGAAGCCACTTACCCTTACAAGGGCGATGATGGAACTTTCAACAAATCAAAGGAGGCTTCCCATGCAGCTATTATTACTAGCTACGAGGTTGTTCCAGCAGATAATGAGCGGACATTACAGAAGGCTGTTGCAAACCAACCAGTATCGTGTCCATTGATGCCGGAGGTTTCGCCTTTCAATTCTACTCGAGCGGAATTTTCACTGGAGGTTGCGGAACTGATCTAGACCATGGTGTTACAGCCGTCGGATATGGTACCCCCGGAGATGGCACTGATTATTGGCTCAAGAACTCGTGGGGAACAGGATAGGGTGAAGAAGGATATATCAGGATGCAGCGAAACATCAAAGCCAAAGAAGGTCTTTGTGGCATAACCATGGACTCCTCCTATCCAACAGTCTAAAACCTCAAATTTGAATATCATAACCACAATCATCTACGACTTGCCTATCCACTCTGTTGATACCCCATTCACATGTAAGGATGAAAAACAATCCTCTTTAAAGTCGCATGCAAAAATACAGCAGTTCTACATAAATATTAAAATTACTTCTATTAAGATACTGCTTTAATACTGAGCTCCCAATGAAGTTGTTAAAAAAGAGAATCACACTTACAGTCTGAAAGGCATGAGGAACATTCTATCCGCAGCAACCAAAGTAAAATGGCTTCTGAAATCCTTTAAGAGAACATTCCATTAGAAAACTTTCTCGTGCGGTCGTGTACCCTACTTAGTGATATCTTAACAAATTAATGTCTATCCGCCTTAGCTTGAAACCAACCCTATCACCATTAAGGTCGCCACTATGCACAACTATTAAAGTTTCCCAATCACACTGAACTTATAAATCTTAGGCTTGAACAACGAAGTTGAAACGACTTACACTAGATTAAGGGATTAGAAAAGGGATGGGTTTTAGTTCAAATGTTCATGGAGTAGTAAAGCACAACTTTGAATGCTAAGCAACAAGCATAAAAGCCGAGCAAGCCGAACTAGGAAAAGACAATGAAAAATCGTATGATCGAACAAGCCAAGCAACTAACCGCTTAGTCTGAAATGTTTATTACGCATTAGACCAATTGACAATTCGCCTAAAATTCTAACTTTAAGAGAAGGCATAGATAAATTTGGTTTGAGAAATCAGTCCATAAAAGCAACTAGTAACAAACAAAGCATTCAGCAACAGTAACTGCGAGTTTTATTAAGAATTACTTTGTATATGATAATCGAGCTTAGCATACAATCTCTTGTGAGAGCGTGATAATTCCATCACCTATTGGGTTGTGTTGGATTCGCCAAGTACAATATTGAAAAGCAGAATTGATACTAAACCCAGTAAACTTCAGATTTTAAAGACTGCCAGAAAATTTTGCAGATGCAAATTCTAACTACAGTAATTGTATGATTGGCATGATTGGATAACCTAAAAGAGTTACCTTGAGGAATAAAGACAAGTGAAAAATTACAAGGCGAAGCCCTTCAAGTATTCAGGATCTCGCTTGGCTTTCTCCTGAAATTTCTTAAACCATCTATCCAAAATGTCCATAGGAACCATCAGCTTAGACCCATCAACCCCACAGAACGACTGCATAAAATTGAACAAATTCTCCCCAACTTTCAAAGCCAGGCGTTCGATCTTCTTCTCGGCAGTCAAGTCCAAGGACGGCAAGGCGGCCAGATCCTCCACCGACACACCGATCTTGGCAGGATTTAGGTTTTGGATCCCCGTCAGCTTGTTGAATTTTTAGTAAATCTTCGTTTGTGTCGTCTAATCATTTTGGTTTGTCATTGAATCCTGGTAGTACTTCAACAACTCCAACGTTGAAGCTCTGAAAAACAATCTCGATTCCATCCATTTCTTGTGCTATTTCAGTTTACAGTTACTTCCTTTTAGATCATATTGTGGCATTCCATATCGGATAATATTTCTTCGGTGCAAACCCGATGATGCTCGTTGTCGAAGAATAATAACTATTTATTAATTGTTGAGGAATGCAATAACATGCTTGGGCAATCGGTTTCGTGGTTGACAGGGTGGTTCCTCTTCAACCCGTGTAGCTTTCATGTCTACAGATCCATTTTTTGGAACATTTACTTATCATCAACCATAAGAAAGTAGACTTGACCTCACGCACCAGTGATTGATTCAATATCGCATTAGCAAATTACATTATTCAGCTCTTGCTCCCGGTTAACTTCACTTCCCTTGATCTTTTTTGTTTCTTCTATTTAAGATCTACTTTATTGTTGAATAAGAAGATTTTCATTTATATGATAATTTGTTGTTCACCTCAAACCTGGCATTTGTACAAGATTTTCATTTATTGGATTGTGAAGTTTTAATCTGTGTGTATTTGTATGGGATATTGAATCACTAAGAATTTATCCCCATGGTGAATACAAATACTATAAAACAGAAATATTAGAGCAAAGCACATGCTTGATAACACCATTTTCTTTTGCCATATTTATTATGTTTATATACGTGATTCAATGACGTTTATATACACGGTTTACAGATTAATATTCAATGGAAGCCTAGTGCATGGTAGATAAAAGGAAATAAATTTGACTTTTGAGTTCTAGGAATGATAAAAATAGATTGGAAGTGGGTTAAATTTAATTATCTTTGTTGGAGAGAGCCTCTGGAAGTTTAATTGTGGGAGCCTTGTCCACACCTCTCCTCGAATACTCTCTCCATCTTCTTGCTGCAGCTGCAGCCCTTTTTGCTCTCTCTTTCACTTCCTCTTCTGCAAACAACATTTCACCATGATTTGCATCTCCATAATGCATGAGAAGAACTAGCGATTATTGAAATCCTAGTACATACCTGATTTCTTGTATTCTTTTGGTTTGCCCCAGAGGTCGGACCAGTATGAATCGGTTTTACCAGCATCTTTCTGCTGCATCATTCTTACTTTAGCTTGTTCCTGGTAAGAAAGAACGAGAAAGAAAGGTTCAAGTCGCCTTTTTTAGATACAACTTTATGTAGCATCTTCAATGCAGAGTCCCTTAAAGAAAGTCCCTCTCACAATACGGCAGCTACTAGATATTTAGTCCTAACATTGAAGTATTTATGAAATTCTCATATAACTATTTGAGGAAAATCCTGGATTTGAAAGAGTATCGGATATGAATATGTGCCTGGTATACGATATTTTTCTCATAGTTAACTACATGAACCAACTAGATCTGACAATGTCATACATGACAGATGAAAATCCAGTGTATGAAATTTCAGAATATTGAAACAGTAAGATTCCTACCAACACTTTTGCCTGCCGCTTCTCCCATCGAGAACTTGCCTGCCAAACAATTAGAGGTCGATAGACTGTCTAAGAAAGTTATAAACCAGAAATGCAAATGGTATCAATAGATAGATAATACAACTGTTGGTTTTACCATTCTGAATACATCTGATGATGATCCCATTCCTGAAAGCATCAATGCTACCTGACCATCCATTCAAAACACTCAAACTCTTAGCAATCGAAACAACTAGATTGAATATATAGATTAATGAACTGTATCACTGAAAGATTAACAGGACTTCGTTCTTTTTTCAAGGTTTCGATGTAAAAAGATGTTGTCTGCCAGTGGCTAAACCCACAGTTGATCAGTCAGATGCCATCTAAAATGCTCATAGTTTATCAAGATTAATCATAAGTGTGTGTTTCTTCCTTACATTAACTCTTTCAACCCTGCGCATTTCATCTTCAAGCAACGATAATTGTGCTGCAGAAGTCCAATGGATGCAATCAACTGGGCTGGATAACATAAGAAATCTGATATGTTAATGGTTAAGGAAACAATATAACAAACCAGACGTTTTCAAGCGAAGGTCTGGAAATTTCCTCATGAATATGCTTCATAAAGATTCCCATGTAATATCAAATTTGATGGTTTGAATTTTGTGTTCATCATAGCTTTGTAACATGACTTCTCATCATTTTCTTTATCCTTCGTGATGAACGTTAAATTACTATTATTGAATGTTCAAAATAAAAACCATACAATTTAAAGCAAGTACCTACCAACTGTCTATTGCCTGTTGCACTAATTCAGGATTCCCAAATTGACTACAAACTCTGGCTCGTCCAAAGTCTTCCTCAATTCCAAAAACATCGCAGGCGACATTGGCACAATTTTTGCAGCCTGTGAAGGAAACAATTAGCTCATAAGAAGTGCCAATTTAGAGATCTTAGACTGGTAGTGGTAGGAGTTTTGCTTTAGTTGTAACTTCCAGTAGCAAGTAGTTTAGTGTTAAGCAAGAACAGCATATTAAGATTTTGAATACTCAAAAAAAAAAAAAAGCATAATTTCAGAGATCAGTATCCTAAAAGCTCCTTTGCTGAAATTTCAGTCTCCTCTACTAGATTGTAGTTAAGCAAGGCCTATGTTACATGAACTCGGTGCTACTTATGTGAATGTATCCGATCCGGCTGCTCAAATTTTCTAAGTTGTTTTATGTATTTGGAGGATCATACTCTCATGCTCATGTTTGAACTTGTGTCAAACACATGTACCAAGAGAAAATGAAAAGTCCGAATAACATAAAGAACGAGTAACCTCGATAAGGATTGGCTAAATTTTGGTACTCGCTGGAATTTTTTTAAGTATAAACCATATGCATTTGGAAAGGCCAAAATTCTACATGGAAGTTGAAGGAAGCTCATACCTATACAGCTAAACTCATCGACAAATACATGGTCTTTTGGGGCGGAATCATCCATAAAAGGATTGATTGCGGTCAATGCATAGCCATGAATTTCATCGTAAACCATGCGCTGTACGGGATCACTGAGAACCTGCAAATAAATAGTTGCATCATATTAATAGAAGAACAAATATTTACACGATACATAAGGGTAATTCTGAATGAGAACACACCCCATAGACCTCATTGATGAACATGCAGAAATTTGTAGTCTCTGGATCGTTGCCACTTAAGTCTGGATGACAAGCCTTCATGCAATTATAATAGGCCTTTTTAATCTCCTCTTGTGTAGCATCCGGAAGCTATAGAAACAGCCCATAAAATATTTAGATTTCTGGGAGCGAAATCATGTCAAAAATTCAAATACCGATTACCTTTGACATGATAATTGATAAATATAAAGATCGCTAGTAGCTATGGCTATAATGAATATTTTGCTTGTATTTTTTTCTAATTTCACACCCATGACCCAACATAAAATTTTGCATCCTTCCTTGCTACCCAAGTAATTTGACAACCAGATCCACTCCCAATAAATCGATAAATTTGAAAGAAACAACCAAGAATCGGTAAGCTGAAAACAAAATCAAAAGAAAATATTACTAAAGAATTACCAGACCAAGAACAGCATAATAATCGTCGGCAAGAGAATCAGTAGAGGCAGTATTCCCTGTGGTAGAGGCAGTATTCCCTGCAGTAGCCTTGACTCTGCCAAGGCCTCTCCTTAGGCCACCATGACCCATCAAGCTCCAAGAAGCTCCAGTCTTAGCCATGGCCTTCCATGAGCTTCTTCTTCTCATGTTTAAAGATGGGTTATGGAGTTTCAGAGCATCTGTACATACAGGGGAGAGTAGCCGAGCCATTTGTTGGACGCAAATTTCTAGGCTTTCTTTTTCTTTTCTCTGTGTTATAAACACTAGACAGAAACAGAGGAAGATGGAAGAGACAGACAGCCAGAGAGGAGGAAAGGAGACTTATTATTGGATTAATATAGGGGGAAGAAATTGAAATTTTGAGGAGGAAATTCCGGCGTGGAAGGTTGAATGCTGAGATGGCATAAAGGAGAAATTTTTATTTGTTGGGAAAAAAAAAGAGAGAGCCATTCAGTTCACAAGTATCTAGATTTTACACTGCACCAACCTAAATTGAATCTAGAGACTAAGTTTTGCACGTGTCGGCTTATGGATAATTCTTGCCCCCCTCGCTTCCACTCACTCCAGCATTTATTGGATATTTAAATTTAAATATATTTAAATAGGTCAAATATATTACTCCTTTTTATGAGATTGAGTAGTTGTTTTATCATTATTTAAATTTATAAATTATTTACTAATTTTTATTTAATATTATTATTAATTTTTGGTCTAATAACTAAAAAAAATTAAATTTAATATTATTATTTAAATTTATTGGATCTTATTTGTTTGGTTAGTAATAGTTTGTATTTACTTTTTAATGATTAATGATTGAATTAATAAAAAATTCTATACAAAATTAATACAAAAATTAAAGGTATATAAAATTAAAAATATTTTATTTTTTTATAATTGTTAAGTTAACAGCTAATGACAATATTAAATAAAAATTAAAATAGTACTTAAATTTAGTATTATAAATTTGAAATATGAAGATTAAATTTGAGTTTTAAATAATATATAAATTCATTATATACTTAAACAATTTTTAAATTTATATAAAACACTAATATTAAGTATGCTTATAATAACCTAAAATTCATGTTTAATATTTTGATACTACTCAAATGGTTTGTAAATTTAATAGTTTCTATTACTTTTATAAATAAATATATATATATAATTTAATTGTTATAATAAACTTCTGATTTGAACTTGACCTTAAAATTAAGTTCAATCTACAGAAAACGAGCTTAGAGTCAAGCATAAAAAAATAAAAATAAAACACTGAATTAATTAATTTATCATTTAATAAATTTTTTAATCAAATACATTAAACAATTTAATTTTATCTTTAATTTAATTAAAAATTTTAAAAAAAAAATATATAATAGTTTGCATTTTTAATCTACCGTCGTTTCATAATTGTTTCAAATCAATGTAAAATGATAATAAAATAAAACAAGTTTTAGAGGAGCTACTAAAAAAACGGGGAAACGCTCACGTGCGGCGTCTTAGTACACGGTTAAAATAAAATGTTACCGGTTTTGTTATTATTTTAAATAACAAAATCGGTAAAAAAATGATCGAAAACATCATTATTTTGACCGGTTCTAATTACCTATTTTGGTAAACACGGTAGAAAAAAATCCGGTCAAAAAATAATGTTTTAGGTAGCGTTTACCGTAAACATTATTTTTTGATCGGATTTTTTATACCGTGTTTACCTATATATGTAATTATAACCGGTGAAAGTAATGATGTTTTCGGTCATTTTTTACCGGTTTTGTTATTATTTTAATAACAAAACCGATACCTTATTTTAGTCGTATACTAAAGCGCCACATCGTAAAACTGCCCACAAAACGAAAGCTTCAAAGAGAGAGAGACAACTTATATGTCAAAATATCGATAAACGTAATAGACTGAGATTACGATGTTTCTTAAAAATTTTAAAATCTTATATTTTTTGTATTTTATGCATATTATTTAATTTGGACCCCTGAAATTTTCTAATTTTACACTTCTTAAATTTTTAATTTGTGCTTCCTAATTTAAATTTTTGCATCCGTCATGATAATATAAACAATTTCACACTAATATATAAAAGATATTGTATTTTGAATATTGACGTTGGAAACTCCATTAAGAATGTTGTTTTCCCTAATCGAGCACAAATTTAACAACTTCCGCACGCGAAAACAATTTATAATGGAGAAAATAATTTTAGTAACCGAAAATGTTTTATAATATACGATTTTAACTAATTTTTTTGGATTTACAAAAATAACCAACAAAATCGCAACGCGAACTCCTATTTCGCAACATGGTTTCCAAATTCGCAACGCGAACATGAAATTTTCGCAACACGAATTTTGCAACATTAATTACCGATATAGGTAAACACAACTATCGCAACGCGTTTTCGCAACGTTAATTACCGATATAGGTAAACACAACTATCGCAACGCGAATTTCACAAATTGAATTCGCCAATTTCGCAATTTAATTATCGATATAGGTAAACACAGTCAAAAATCCGAATTCGCCAATTTGAAAACTGAGTTACGAATTTGATAAATTTGTGTTGCGAAATGTAAAATCTCGCGAAAAAATAATTTCGACAGTTCGTTTGTTTGGTTAAAGTTAAACGAAAGAACGAACGAACATGAACATACCTCGTTCGTGTTTGTTCAATTCATTTACAGCGTAAGTTTAGCTGAGTGATTCATACATGGAGTTAGCAACTGGGATGTCCCATGTTGAAAACCACTCCAGTGCATTTTATGTCCTTTAATTCTTTCTTTAAGAGGTGAGATTTTACATTTCGCAACACGAATTTGTCAAATTCGCAACTCAGTTTTCAAATTATCGAATTCGGATTTTTTTACCGGATTTTTTCTACCGTGTTTACCTATGTCGGTAATTGAGTTGCGAAATTGGCGAACTCAATTTGCGAAATTCATGTTACGAAAACGAAATTCGCGTTGCGATAGTTGTGTTTACCTATATCAGTAATTAGCGTTGCGAAAATTTCTATGTTCGCGTTGCGAATTTGGAAACTGTGTTGCGAATTTGAAATCGCGTTGCGATTTTGTTGATTATTTTTACAAATCCAAAAAAGTTGATAAAATCGTATATTATAAAGTAGTTTCGGTCACTAAAATTATTTTCTCTTTATAATATTGTGATTTATAAAAATTTAGCAGTGCAAACTACGCTAGTATAATACATGAAGTGGATACATATAAGAAGTAAACAAATTTTGAGCGCATTGTAGCTCAAATTTTCACATTAATATTGATCAAATATTGTGTATTTGGATAGTATAATATCACCAGTGAGACCGTATATTAAGAGTTTGATTACTAATTCATACCTCTATGATTATATAATATAATATCATCACTAAGATCGCATATATAATATCAATAATAAGAACTCTTTATGATAATATCATTGAAATTACATAATATAACATCATCACTAAGAGATTAGGGATGTTCAAATTTTCGAACTAATTCGGTTAATCGACCGAACCGAATTAGTTCGGTTAATTCGGTCGGCCACCCAATTAGTTTGATCGGTTAACGGTTAAGATTTTTTTTGAAATTTGGTTAACGATTAATTCGGTTCGAAATCGGTTAATTAACCGAATTAACCCTTAAATATTTCTTAATATTTTTTTACCCCATGATATCCTGCCCCTACTTCCTTTATTTTATGTGCTCCTCGGTTATGGGCAAGGTATGGGCAAGGTGAGCATGGGCAAACTTTACATTCGAGATGGACAAAAATGTATAGTGGTATCTTAAAAAAATCAAACTTTACATTCGAGATGGGGTGGTGGTCTAGGTGGAGCATGAGCCAGCAGCATGGAGCATTGAATCTCATTAAATGAATTTTTTTGAATTAGCGGAGCATGGGTAAGGCAGCAGCATGGGGTAGATAATAATTGTAATATTATACATTCAAACTTACAACAGAAAGTTACGATAATTAATTTTTCTTCCCAAACCGACTCATCAACATGTCTTTGTCTCTGTCACCTCACAGAATACATTCTAGCGTTAGGAGCTATTGATCCATCAACAGTGGAGTCTTCATTCATATATTCCATTTGTGCCAAACTTTAATTGATGTGTTACTCTGTTGTAAGTTGGACATCTATTGTAAGTTATACCCTACAACATTGTTGAGCCGATTAACAATGAAAAATTAACACTTTTGACAGTTTGATGCAAGTTCTAGACTTTTTGTTTCCGGAATAGATTATTAATTCCTCAATTATTATTTCCTTGCAGATGTTAGATGCTTCACAAACACTTCTACCTGACGATGAGCTCAAGAAACAATTTAATGAAGAGGGTGATTCCTATTTATCTTCCTTTTTATCATTGTTCCTTTCCCTCTTTACATTTTCTTCTTTCCCAGTTTTGCAGGCATGCATTTTGCCATCTCATATTTGGTTCTCATATTTGAGGGGTTAGGAAGCATGATGTTAGTCTTTTGTTTCTTCACCGTTTGCTCTGCAACTTTATCTGCTGCATTTTGTAAAAATCTATAGGCTTTTAACTCATATTCCCTGTTTTCCTATCAAAAAAATTAATTGTAAATTGTTTTTAATTTAAAAATAATAAATTCTAAAATTCTAAAAAAATCGCTAATTCAAAATTAACCGAATTAACCTAAATTTATTCGGTTCGGTTAATACTTTCAAAAAAAGTTCGATTAATTTGGTTAAGGGTATTTCGGTTCGGTCGACCACATTTTAACCGAATGAACACCCCTAACTAAGATCATTTGATACGTTAACAATAAAGACTATGTTGTACCGCAACAAATATTTATTATAACAAAAATTTGTAATTAATATTATAAACAAAATAAAAGATTATAACATAAAAATATTATAAACAAAAAAGGTAAGGCTTTGATTATGATATAGATTTAGATTTTCGGTGTTCTTATTTTCAAAATAATATTAATGATATTTTATTATTATAGCTTAAATTTAAAGAAAGTCGAAAGTTCTATGATAGATTTATTAATTTTGAGGTATTTTTTTTATGAAACAAACATCATATTCATGTTCAAGAGGCTAAAATGAGTGGAATAGAAATTATATGATCACTGATCATCAATGACAGTGATGATGATGATCAAAGACCTAGACAAGTTTGACAGCGAATACCTAGACAAGTCGAGTTTCATAAAGTGGGTTCCTTTCTTTTTTCCCCTCCAAATTTGTTATAATATATAGGTTATATATATTAATGTATATCTATCGTATAGAATATAGGTATAAACTATAAAATTATTAATCCTCATGGGATTCTT